GTTTTCTACTCAGGAAGGGCATCCTTGTTTTTTTTTATTCTAATGCTTGTCCTTAACGCCGAATGTTATTTTGTGAACTTTCTGCGTTTTCCGACTTCCATTTGGCATTAAATTCACCTTGCCTTGATTCTGAAAACGTATCTTTCCGAAGAACTACCATTTGTTTTGCAAAAGAGTCCTTCAGGCAGGCAGGCAGTCGCAATGTGATTGCGTGAGTTGGGCACCCATTTTAATCGCACTCGCTTCACAGCTACTGTATTGTAATACGATGGTGGTTTATCCCTCGGTATTGGTGAGGCGCCACTTTTGGACTTTGAACTAGCCTTCTTGTACCTCACTGGATTGGCTGGCCTTCGGCCATGCCAATAGCCCAGACACCTTCTCTGTGCTGGACATATATATTCTGCCCGAGCATTGTGGCTTTTTTCGTCTTCAGGTAAGTCTAGTAAACGATTCAATGTAGCCCATCCTTATTAGATAATGGCCAGAAATTTGCCGCTATTTCACTTTTGTTCTTTCTACCGACCCCTTTAGCCCAAGTGCAGGCGGTCACATAACAAAAAAACAAACCTAACAATTAGGCCGATTTAAAGGGACCAGTTTATAATTCATCATCGCGATAAATGGGCGTGATTCCATTTTGTGCCAATGACCGAAGCAAAGACGCGGTAAAATATTTTCTTGTGTTTTTCACATTTACCAAAGCCGAGGCGATTCCTAAAGGCTTTTATACGTTTACATTTCTGTCCATATACTTGCGTTTTTTCACATGTGTTACAAATGTTTTATGTAGTTACGTTATTTATTTACAAATTGTTAGGACAATCTAAAAAATGTTTGAATTAAAAAATCAGACAGGTCAACAAATGCGAATATTAAAGCTTTTTAAAGTTACGTTAGTAGATGATTTATAGTTTTAAAATTGTTTTAGTTGGATTGCACATTAATGCTATTATCCCGCTCCTCTCACAATAATTTCCAATTATAACCTTTTATCTTCTTGAAGTAAACTAATGTTGCACTCAAGGCCATTGCGCATTTATGTGAATAACTACGTGTGAATACTTTCTCGGCCTTGGTAGAAAACATATCTTGAAAGATAAATTGCATGCCAGACTTTGCTTAGATATCAACCACAATACCTGGGTAGGCAAGTTGTTAACTGAATGAATGATGGACGTAATGTTAGCCCGTTCTTATACACTCGCTGCTGTATCTATGCTATTACTTTGTGATTCATCTTCACTTAATAAAGCTTGGTTTTTAGACAAAATTTGCGAATACTCAGATAGCAAAGCGCGTAAGAATGAACCGTTTGATGGCTAGGGCTTACCGTAAAGATAAATTCTTCCATGCGAAACTCGTAGAAAAAATGCAACTACAGGTTTAGTTAGACCATGTAGTGGAGGTACCTTGGCAACAGCATTTTACGTCTGCTTGACATGAGTGTACGGATGTGGTGCCAAGTAGCAAGAATGAACGCTTTTCCGCACAGCTCATTTGCCAGAATTTGAATTAGTATGAAAGTGGAAAGTGAGAGAGACAGAAGCAAGAATTCCCCACCTGCAATTCAAGTGTCGGCAACTTAGGTGTTAGAAAAACACCGAACGGACACTGAGTTGGGAGAATGCTGTGCTCTCTTAACCCAACACGTCATCCACCAACGGGAAGAAGAAACAGTTGCCAGAGAGTTCTTTCATCACCATTGACAATAGGCAAAGATAACGAGTAGCACGTAGACGACCTCCAGTTACTAGCGGATCAGGCCTTTCGCGGCTCACCTTCACCTAGGCCTGCTGCATGATCACAGTCCACTTTAGACACAAGAGTCGCCTCTTTCGCTGGAGAATCGCCATCCATTTCTATTCATTCAAGAGCTTAGAACCGAAGATTCCTTTGACTCATTCCAGTCGGCGAAACCAGTTGCCAACGAGTTCTTTGAATAGAGTAATTCCGAGCAACATTATCAAAGTGGGTGTCAGCACAGTTGTAAAGAATCTCCACACATTGACCTAATATGGATAGACCACGTCTTTTCAAGAGCGTCATAGAAGGTCTGCAACGATTCTCTAAGCGATTTCAATTACAATTAGCCTACACGTCGTTATCCGATGCAGAAGGAGTCAAATGGCTGGCTGAGAGGCCGCTCTAGCGGTTGGAGCAAACATTACATAGCCAACGATGCACATTAACTAACCTCTCACCTTACTTTATCTCACCTCTCCTCCACAAAACACACGGTGCAACTTTAGCCTACAGCCCATCCTCATGCTTAAACGCGTTAGCAAAACTTTTTTTGCACTTTCAGTACAAACATTTCGCTGTCTTTAACATCGTCAGGTAGAAGGAGAGGTGGATTAAAGGTCGCGCAACCATCGGGGCAGAAGATCGGTGGCAGAATGGGAGCGCGAGGGCCGCCAAAATGGGTACTGTAGAATAAGTGAGGCCAGCTGGCGATTAGACTCAGCGAAGGGAGTAGAGCGGTTCGTGGCACTGGGGAGGGAGTGATTATAACTACGACCTTTGCTCTCGGATAGGCACCACTGATCTCTCGACAATCCATTACGTTTTAACAATTGTCTCGCCTTAGGGTAGGGTCCACCTCGTGCGCAATAGTAGCCCTTTCTCTCACTCCACCTGAAGAATAAAAGGAAGGAGGGAAGGAAGCAGTAAACCCACTTAGAAAACCACTCCGCATCCACCATACACCGCATTCCCAATCCTAAAGAAGGCGACGACATCAGGAGGACTTACACCAGCAGTTTTGAGTAATCGATGAAGGTGGAGACATTTAGGAATTCCTGCACGTCGCGTAGCACCTCGGCAGGATCCGATTCTAACCGTTCGACATCAACCAGAAGGATCTGCAAGTGGAATCAAGATGCATGCGAAAGGCGTCTCTACATCCACCATGAGTCGTCGGCGTCGCATACGAAAAGGTAGGCCATCGTGGCGGTGCAACAAGAGGCGGGATTCAATAACAAGCCTTATTGCTCCTCACTATAACTGGTGTATATTTCGTGGTCTGATCTGTCCATCCCCAACACCATCCATAAAGATAGCGAGCATTTGTGATATTGTGTACGTGGCTTATTTATTTATTTACTTATTTACCCATTTGTGAACGCATAGGTCCCGGCTTGACCCGAACGTCATTTGTACTTTTATCACAATACTCACACGATTAGCGCGATAGTGATGAAGCCAGTGACGAAAATGCGTTGCGTAGACACTGGGCTCAACACACTTCAGATGCAGTTGGTAGAGCTGGGCCGCGAGATGTTTGGCGTTGAAAGAAGACGACGCCGCGGCAGTAGCGATAGCCATGGCTTCATCCAAACTACTGGCATTCAGCACCTCGGTGAATGTGAAATTCAGTGCTACGGGCACTTTGTGTGCTCTTTGATGCTAAAGTGTGGGAGAAAAAAGAAAAAAGAACCTGCCACCAGAAGTAGTAGCAGCAACACACACACGCAAACGCAAGTACACCCACCTGATACCAAGAGTGTGCCCGCAGCATGGGGTCGCGCAGAAGTACAATGATCTTAGCCTTGGGAAGAAGAGCAGCCATTCGCACCACGGCTAGAGAGGAGTCAAAGTAAGTGGCTGACTTTTCAAAGTTGATGCCAGTGACTGGACTATAAAATTGGTCGTTGTAGAAGGCGACACCCTTGCTGTAGATAGTGGAGTTGCTAAAGAACTGCACCTCCTCATAGGGCGAGTGTGAAAGAAAGCGATTAGGCTGCAGATTTGGGTGCATAGCCATGAAAGCCAGCAACGCGGTCGTGCCTGTGTGAAAAGGCAGAAGCATTAGTGAAGAAAATAAGAAGCAAATTGGCGGTGAATGAATGTAAATGAGCCGAGTGCGATGTTGCAGCAGTGGATTCGAGGTAGACGTATAAATTAATATATTTTGGATGGATGGATGAAAGAATGGACGAATGCATACAGAAATGAATCCACGGATGAATGTCGTTTTAGGTGTAAAGGATAGATGAATGAGTAAATTGGAGAATGCGCACCAGTCTTCTGCGGTCCCACAATGATAGCTGCGGGGAGGCGCCTTTCACTGGAGATGCAGGCGGCTGGGAACCAAATTGCCTCGTGCCTTGGGTTCACGCAGGGATCCGAATGCACTGGCATGGAAGTAGGCGCACTTGCTCGCTCCGTTGGGTTAAATGCCAAGTGGTACTCCATTAGACGCCAAATCGGCGCCCATTGAACCTTCAGTCGGGTCCATCCACGCAGAAATGCGAAGACTCTCTCAAAGACATATAGTGCCAGGCGGTCTTGTGCGTAATTACCATAGTGCGTCATGTACAAATTTACCTGCAAATGAGAAGCAAAGTTCTTTACTCGAAAATGTGATGCGATTCCCAGTTACTCCAAAAAACTAGGTCACCATAGAAGATGCTTAAAAAACAGGTGAACAGAAGGTAGCTTAAAGTGAGAGCAGAAAATACAAATGAATGATGCCGCAGCAGCTATGCTCACAGGTCTAAAAAGTAAGGTGTCGAAGAGGTCCCCACCAAAGGCCATTCCATCCAATCTTTCGACGCCACCGGGATAGCTGTTGAGCAGCATTGTGGAGGTGTACACTCCACACACCTGTCTTGGCAGCACCTTGAGCAGGAAGGAAATTAAACAGCCAGAGGTAATTTATTGTTGTCTTCACTGCCACGCACTCGGGACAACCCTGACACTGCAGCCTAGATACTGTACTGTTAAGAAAAATTAGGAAACTGCGTTGTCTTTAGATCAAAGACAGTCTACGTCTATATGGTTGATTTACGGTGAAACCATCTGCTTCCAACCTAAACCAGTGCATGAAGATAAAAATGGAGGTGTCACATATGCGTGACACAGTTGAGGAGAGTATTCACTGACCTGAACTCCTTGGTAGTGGAAGCCGCGACGTGAGTGTGGTGGAAAGAGTTTAGGATAGCCCTCTGTAGTGGTGACATTTATGTTCCACACCTCCTTCCAAGCAGTGTAGAGGTGCGGAATGACTGGATACACACCAGAATGATGGGGAGCCACGGCATAACCATCTACTATTGGTAGGTCCTTCTCCTAGGCGAATACAGTCAAACTCGCTGTCTCAGGTTAAGAATTATTTTTATTAGAGATCAGTGGAATATTAGTGAATATAGGCAAGTTAATCAGCGAGAGTTAAGTGAGAGATGAATGATTTATGGTTGGATGAGTGGATTAATCGGTATGAACCAAAATAAGGTTGGACAAATGCATTAGAAATGGGTCAGAGATGAATGAATTGGAATTGTGGGAACTTGGGGCAGAATCATCATGACCAAGGGAGTCACCCACATACAGTCGTTGGCGGTAGCCTTGGAAACGTTAAAGCCATTCAACTGGGTATATGAGCACCTCCGTCACCATCAAAATGCTCTGTTTGGAATTGTTCTTCGTAGAGACGAGTGAATGCCTTCTGGGATTTAGATTGTACACCTTCAATCACTGCGAAATTTTCCTGTTATCACACACACGCGCTCTCACACCCTCGAATGGCACGGGTCTGAAATGGCGCATGACATAGGCACCGGCCGTGAAAAAGTCATGGCCGAGCACAACCACACGCCTTCATGCCTTCCACCAGTGTGTGACTTGTACCGCCTCGTACGGATGAATGGGTGAGTACAGAGCACAAATGGTAACTATGATGTAGAAATGCAGGAACTAAAGTAACATGGGTCAAGAATGCATGTTTGGTGTTGTCAACGTTGATGTCAAGCAAGGCACATTTTCAACAATCAATTGTGGAGACAGTTCTTTCTTACAACAATTTGACAATATTTGCATGAAAAAAGTATGCATACAAACAATAATCCAGGTGGAAGATGGTTGAGCTTTTAAAAAAGGACCTGAAATAACACCACCACCTCCTCGCGTATGATCTAAAAGATCACTTTCCAACCACATTGTAGGCTGTCAAAAAAGGATAATTCAAGCATTCTTGCTACTCACCTCAGCAAACTGTTTATTCAATTTAAACTGTTGGAGCAATTCTGATGGCGAGAGTAGATGCGGTTGTAAATGCGAATAGGTATGGCAAAACCACTTGAATTGATGTCGATACTCTGTTGGCAGGAAGGAAGGAAGAGAATGATTGATTTACGTCCAATCTTGCAGTCAAATGCCTCCATCACTGTGGGGGACTTTGGAAACTCACGAATGAGAGCCTCGTCACCAAGCTGCTCTTGGGGATTGCCGAGCAAAAAGAACATTCCCGAAAATCCCATATGGAATGTGAAACCGGGCATGAAGTGACGACGCCACCGATTCTGCGTCTCAACAAGGTTCTGCAAGAGCCATCGGCAAGCGTAACTGTGCATTTGATCTCATAAAGACATGCTTTATGTTGAATGGATAGGGGAGTGGGTGGGTGGGGAAAAACTACTGCACCTTTTCAACACTGCCATAATCTCTTCAAATAGTGCTCTACATTCCTCAACCTCGCAGGCGGGGGGGGGGGGTAGTGACTTCTACTTTTACTTTCACTTTTTGTAAATTGCAACCCACCTCAACGTCCGCAGGAGTCATTCGATCCCCACGTGACGCCACAAACACGTCGTCGATGTCAATGTGAACGTACCGCAGAAGACCGAGATCTACGGAGACGCAAGATCTAGTATTCATATTCATTCGACAATAAGGATCCTTGCATTATTATCTACTCTCTTACCGTACTCAAGTACGGCAGAGTCTTCAAAAAAGTGATGGATGGCATCGTTAAGCAGGAGTGAGGTGGACCAATGTTGTAAGGGCCTGTAGGCAAAGAGGAGCCTTTCAATGCCATCAAATTTTCCCATATCTTTTAGCACCAGACTCTGGTAAATCGCTTCACTATCACATCCAACAGTTCCGTTTATGCTGCATTCTGTGAAAGCACAACTTCGTCGTTCCAGCTGCGTGCCTTGCCCCAGGGGTACTTGTGTGAAAGCCACGGTCTGGAAGGCGTCAGCATCACCAGAATTGCGAGGAACAAGAGCAGCCCAGGACCGTCTCCACTTCTGATACTCCTCCCGGATAGATTCCTCGCTGACACAACTCCGATTTAGAACGGAGATGAAGTCGGGAAGGAGGTGAACAAAATGCCGCACGGAGGCGGTAACGTCGGAGAGCAATTGAGGATATCCGTCACGACGCAACGGGAAGCACCTCGAATAATTGCGCTGCCAATCGCGACATGGCGGTAGCTGATCCATCAGATCTCTTTCATCTGCCTGACCTCCGCGCGCAACGTATAGTACGTCGCTTTCCCGTGACAAAAAGAAGCCTTTCGGTGATGACGATGGTGCGAAACGGCGAAGTAGCAGCGGATAAGAGGGATCTACCTTCAGAAAGCCGAAGAAGGAAATAAGGAATGCAAAATGACGGTGTATGTAGGTTTTCAGGGAGTGCGATACGATTAGGCATTATGATTTCCCAAGTGTGTATTTAACAAGGAAGGCTTGCTGGGTTACTTGGACTGCGCCCTCATCATCTTCGAGCCATGGATATTGACCCAAATCAAGACCTCCTTACCAATTACGAATTGCCAGAGCGCCAATCGGAAATGATATGAGAGGCTAAGTCGATGACAGTGGTAAGTGAATCTGACGCAAAACTAACAAAATCGGGAAAGTTGTGCTAGACACAGAACGTCAGTGTCACAACATACGGCACATGATGTGAATGACACCGTCCGCCGCAGAGAAACACAGTAGAAAGACTGTGGAGGTTAAGTTTGCCTTTGGAAACCACTCCAATTGTGTGTTCCGCATGAAGACATATGACAGACAAAACGGCACTAGACTTGAATAGTTTAAGTGTCTACCATCAAGTTCCTACAATAAAATACGTAAAATGCACCAATTATTCCTCCTCTACGTTTCTGGCAACCAAAAGAAATCCACATGCAAGGCTCTGAAGGACTTGATAATAAAATTTTGGCAGAGGCTGCTTTGAGTTGTGTGGTTCATTAAATGGTTTCATTTGAAAAGACTTTCGCGAACAATAATCGGTGAATGAAATGCGCTTGTTATATCCTTAAAACCCCTAAACCAAAAAAACCTCCTTTTTCCAGGCGGAGGTCCCAAAGATCGTAAAACTGTGCAACTTTCACGGTCGATAAGATGCATCATGGCCGTTGAGGTCAAGCGTCTTTTCATTCCCATTAAGATTAATATATGATCTTGGTTCACGATCTGTACATTTAATACACTATGTTGCCATTGTCGAAACAGGAAGATAAACAAAGGGGAACGCCAGAGATAAAACTCAAAGAAACTTTGCAGCAAAATGATCCATCCAAATATATGTTCAATTACTCTATTTCTTTAGTCTCCAAGAGTAGATTCACCGTCTCGATAGCAATAAACCCTACCTCAGCGTCACAGCTACCTCATGGCTCTTCCGTGAGCTTAAAATACACGATTTCTAGAAATTACTATGCGTCGATTACAAGTGAATAGATAACTCGAGGCGCTACAGGGAAAATGAGCCTACCTCAGCAAAGTCGTCATTGCCAGGAATGCCTTTCAAGGTGTGGGCCTTTTGAAAGAAGGCAATAACTGCCACGCTGTTAGCTTTGCAGTAGTCATCAAGAGCCAGTTTGACCGCGGCAGGAAGGCTGAAGTAAACCAAAAAGTCCTCAAATATAACCATTTGAAAAAATTTGGCGAGGATGAGTCGGTGTACTTGGGAGAGGAAAGACACCAGATTTAGAGGATAAACGGCAAGCCGAAGGGATTGTACAACGGAGATAACAAGCCTTGCATCTTCTGATATCTGGTTATCAGAAGCGGCGACAAAAAGGATAAGAGGATGGGTGTGCTTGGAATAGTTAATGTTCTTCGGAAGCCGTGAAGGCACAAAAGTTCGAAGGTTATGGGAACGAACATTCGCGAAGAAGGTTTGTGATTCAACATTTTCAGAAGAAAGCCTATGTACAACCAAATATATAATCCCGATTGAAACAAAAAACAGAAAGAATTTCTTCAACATTGTATAGATCTGGAGTGAGAATTGCAATATTTCTAAATGAAAGAAACACGAAAAATTTGGTTGATCATTAAAAGGTGTAAAAAAGCTCAAAAGTTATATTCATTATGAGTAATAACAAATTCAAAAGTGTCGTGAAAGAAAAATTAGTAAAAACTTTTCGAAACAAATACCGATTAAGCACAATTGCAAAAATAAAAGAGACCTTCTTACTGTTCAAATGGGGCTAAAATGCCACAATGGCAGTGTCATTAGGAAAGTCTGAATGACAGTAGTCAACAATCACGAATCGCGCACAATCGAAATGGCTCTCAAATCCGATTTACTATCCAACGTAGGACACACCCCAGGAGCAATACCATCCAACCAATAGCCACAGAAAGCGTGCAGATCATTAACCCAATCATTATTTAAAGATCGTTCGCTAAAACGAACACAAGGACCACAAAACGTTTTAAAAAGCGCAGTCAAGACACTGTTATAAAACGGAATAAAAAATTGTTAAATACGTTTTAATTTTTTCGCATTTAAAACGCCTAACTAAAAAAGGAATAAATGAGTGGACTACTTCGATTTGAAACAATTTAAAAGACGTGTAAAGAAACATGCGCAAATGCATTACAATTAAAAATTAGAGTGTCACCTAAGTTAGCGCAAATGAGTGCTTCTTATCAGGGCAGGTCAATAAGATCACCATAAAATCAATGGTTTGTGTAATGCTTCAAATTCTGTTAGACCGTCGGCTTCGGTAAAACGTCGCGTTGCCTTGGCTTTTGTATCGCTCTAAATGGTTTTGCTTCTGGACCATACCAAAAGCTCTATTACCTCCCCTATGTTGAAAATACCATTATTTTATCCAAGTGTTGCGTCTTTTCTAGCCTTCATGTACGGCTAGGAGTGCTGCAATGGTAAAAGTGTAAAACGAACCCGGTTAGGGTGGAGGAAGGAGGACATGTGCTGCTTTTGGCGAATCGGTGATAACAATAAAGATAAGGGCTGAAACTGACGGCTGTCTTCGCCGATTATCCCAGTCCCGCATTCCGTCGACAAACCATCAACAACTGAAGTGACACTAGCCGCGAACCATGTGGGAAGGCTTTGCAACTGAGTCTTCCCACAATACCTGCATAAAGCTGTCAATCAAGTAGACTTGCGACGCCTCGTTTACTCCTCTACTAGCTGAATTGAGCCCGCACAGAAGTGGCTGGGCAACTGTGAATTGATAACAACTTAAAGGAGCAATTGACACAAAACCTTTCCTTCGTAGACTTGTGTTTAATTTAGCCCTACTTTACATAAAAATGCTATTAGGCCAATGTTCCCACGTCTATTTATGGACACGCATTATGGTGAGCACAATTTTACGATTCAGGATGCAGCTGCCGAATGGAACGAAGCTAAATCCACTTAAATTGCCAAAAGAGATCATTGACGTTGAGGGCAAGTGACAGGCCTGCTTTGTGGGCGTTTCCTTACAACAGTGGCTACCTTGTGACCAACGGGAGTGTTGGGGACGTTGACTGCTTGTTCAGGTGTTAGTAGAGGAAATGTGAAACTTTTGAAGGGCATTTGAAATAGAAAATAAGCTCTACTCTAAAACACAACAGCTGACAAAGATGTGCTTAAATAAATCGTTCTCAAAACGTTTTGTCAATTACTGAAGGTTATTACTTTAAGGACCTTAACATATTCTGAAGAACAGATACACTATCTTACATTTTGCACTGTATCGCATACCGTTATTTTGTACTCTGCCCCATTGTGGAAATACTTCCTCGAAAACGGAGAGCTAATAATGATGGCAAGATGCTCTATCATGATTTTTAAAATTAGTGCTTTAGTGAGGCAATTAGAAAATTTCGGAATTGCTAATTTAGTTTAAACGGGCAGAGACGCTTCCGATATTACGTTTTGCGATTTGTTTCCACTAAGACTGAGACGGATGGATGCCGATAGACCTGTCCCCAGAGTGTCTCAGTATAATCATCTGAAGCTGTAAGCTTTTCTAATAACCTTCCTATCACGCCTTTTGGCGAATTCGAAAATGGCCTTAGTTACTGCCTATCTGTGGTGGAAATTGCCATAACCAAACTGTACCCGTTATTCTATGTACGCCTTCAGCATATCAATTAGAGCCCTCGGTGGATCCCGCCCTCTTCGCTTAAATCTATGAGTTGTGACCATTTGTATTACTTGGCAAAATAGTCGCAAAAATAGAGGTGGAACCACCTTCTCACGTACGATTTCCTTACATTTATTGGTGGTTCGAATTACTTATGATGACAAAACCCTACCACCTTATAATGCCACCCATATTGTTGAAGTTATGTGGGTCCTGTTTAAAATGCGCCAAGCTTTATATATTGTTCCGGAGTTGACATTTTGTGTGGTCAATCCTTAAAGTGAAGTAGGAAAGGTGGGTTATTGTTAACTATAGGCAAACAGTTGGCAAATAAGTTCAAGACTTCTTTGTTTGTTACTACTTAGCAAATTTGGCCTTTTTTCATTCTCGCTTCTTATTTCAGATCTGACGACGAGCTTAGATATTGTGTGGACAAAGTTCAGTCCGTATTTAATATACCCGAGGATGAAATTCAAATTGAGAAAAAGGTACATTCCCATTTCAATCGCCTTGCCTTCATAACGTTTTAGTTAATTCTTCGATCTATTTATCGGGAAGTGGTATTTTGCAGAGAATAAGTGTAAACTAGGGTTTTTATGTTTTTTAAGAGTGTATCAGGAGGAAGTTTTGGGGATGTCTCATTCGGCACATACCGTGGAAAAAATGTGGTGAAAAAGGACTTTAAATTTTTCACTACGAAGAATGAGCGCAAGTACAACTACCGCGAAACGTACACACTTGCCACCTGCAATCACCAAAACATCGTCAAGTTCATTGGTGCCGGTCCTAACACGCGAATAGCTGACGTTCGCTATGTTGTCATTGAGCGGGCGACAAACGCCTCCCTGGCAGAGCGTAAGTTTCCCATTTTCTCCTGGGGCCAGGGCAATTTCTCCTGTTTTAGTCATTGAATCAGGTTCTGCATACTCCATTTGGCACGTGATGCTCTGGAACTTGCATCTCGCAGATGGGTTGGCGTATCTTCACTCTCGTCCTGAGCCAATCATCCATCGGGACCTGAAACCCGCCAACATGCTCCTCTTCGATGGGTGCACCACCCTCAAGATAAGCGACTTTGGTACCTCAAAGATTATTGAGACGGGCAAGGAGGACTTTCAGTCGCTAAATCAGGGCTCGCGTATCTATATGGCACCAGAGGTACAACAGCGTAGGTCCTCATTTGTTTTTCATCTTCTGCATGTTTCATCAAGTGGAAATCTGTCGCTATGCTTGGGAGTTTTGCTGTCAATGTGATGTTTTCGTAACGTTGTAGTTTTCTAATCCCTTGCAAACCTAGGCCGTGTTGGTGAAAGTTATGCCCAATATACGGAGAAGGTGGATATATACAGTATGGCGGTTTCACTCTGGGAGATGTTGACACGAAGATTGGAGCAAAATGTGAATCCTCACTGCATGAAGATCCGTTCATGTCCACCCTTTCTGGAATGCCTATTTGCTCGGTGAGAATTTTCTGCATTCCTTGCACGCATTAGAAGCACTGTCATGTTGGAGCAGAGTTAACTCGAAATTTTTGTGTGTTTAGTGGAATGGCAGAGGATCCCGCTCAGCGACCAACAGCCTTACAATTGGTTCGATTGCTAGATTTCATTATGCGTAAAGTCTGCATGATGAACACCTCCCAGCTATACATTGATTTTGAGAGCGTTGGGATTCCTAGTGTCTATCAACAGGCTCCCACACAATTTGTCGACACGAATACCATAAAACAGCAGGTGCACAACGTACTTATCTAATTTTAACTGCTCCCGCGACTATAATGCGTTCTTTAAATGCTTTCGCTGTCACCTTCTCTTTTGACATTCTGCAATGCTTGTAATCACTGACTTTTATCCACTTGTAGGGCTCATCATATTGTAGTCTGTTTGAAGAAATGATGACCGTGCGAGTTTCTGTAAGTCCCTCAGTGTTGTATGTCTTTAAGTGGTACCACCCTGACGAAGGCACTAAGCGTACCTCTGAGGAATAGCTTTATTATTGGCACAGAGGAGAGCCTAAAGCTAGCAAACTAAGTTGGTGAAAAAAAGGCGAGAGTGAAGAGCTTACGTAGATAAACCCGCAGCCTAAGTGAATATCGTTTTGCACTAGTTGGTGCCTCGCAAGCCTCCCACGAGATACCGATGTTATTGACTCTTCTTGTCAATTTTGATGAGTCTGCTGTTTCGTTTTTGTTGTGAACTTGAGTGAGAGAGATACCGCGGCTTTTGCACTGCTTGCGCTTGATCAAGTCTCCAGAGAAAACACAGTTTGAACGTCAATCTTGACCTGCGGGAAGGTTGAATCCGAAGATCATCTCCATGGCGCCTTGTTTTTTACGCTATCCAGCGATCTATCTAGGTTCATTAAGCCACTGGAGAGCACTAAGTAAGTACCTGTCTTTCACGTAGATCAAGTATCGTCAAATATACACCTTGACAGCGCCATGGTTGCTTTTTCCAGGTCATGGAAGTTCGGTACCATTTCGCTTCTCAAAATCCTTGTCGTGATTGCTTCTTCTGTTGCCTGTCGCCACGTAGTCGGTTAATCTCATTAGTTTCCCTCCTATGGAAACAAATGGGATAGCTGGTAACTGGATTCAACTTCCCTTGTCACTGCTACTAATGGTGCTCCCAAAATGACGTCGAGAGACGCCGTATGCCACTGCAGTGGGTAGGAGATTCTGTTGTTAGCATCGTAAGGGGTTGAAAGACTACGGGCGAGAACTGTCCGTCTCGAATAGTTCAGCTTGCTAGCAATACCCTTTTGTTCCATATTTGTTGCTAGGATTTTGTGAAATGCGGTAAAATATTCTGTGTTGTGCTTTGTGTAGGACCCCAGGTCAAAAGTTATCTCTGAGAGGAGAACACCTGGCGATGGTCAGGAGTCTCAACGTTATGTCACCACTGACGCGGTAGGGATTTGTTTTACATGATTATTTAGGTTTGTTGCTATTGGAGGTAGTCTAGTGAAGCCAAACCAAGTCAGAATATTTGATTTTATTCCGTAAGGCGTTTTTTGCTACATTTGACCACGTCTTTTGTCGCCGCTGAGGTATTGACGGGTAAAAGTCTATGAAACAAAAGTTGTCTTTTACGGTTGCGAATTACGGGGGCATCTGACTTGCTACTCAGTTCTTGTTGTGTTGTGCCGTGTTTGGTGCTCCGATGGAAGGGAGACACACCCATTGCTATACTTAGACACACTCAGTAGGTGGCGATGCCAAGATTGGGCGTTCCACGAAATGGAATAACGGTGCTGGTTAGGGTCGTGGCTACCACGTTCGAGATCATCGCTGACAGGGATGCACACGTGATCGTGGTTGGGAGCATTCAAATGTTTCAGAACCGAGCAGTTGAGTAACTAAGCATCACTGCCTACTATTGCTTAGTCCATTGTGTTTGGGGTTTTTTGTGGGTTCGCATTTCACGTTTTCGTTCACAAGACGCCTCGTTATCACCCCACTCTGCAGCATGCCGTCTTCAGGAACAGTGTCTGTGTGTGGGCTGGATCAGCCCAGCGCTTGAGTGCCACTTGTCATGCGTAGCATAGATTGGTGCGTCGAAGTGTTGTGATAAGACGGACCTGCAATTCGCTACTGCTAGTCGTCGCGCTTCCAAGGTGCATTTGTGGTACCGTGAATTTCGAGGACAGATCTTTACTTGAACGCCACCGCTGCCAAATATCGATAGAAGAAGTAGGCTGGTGAATGCGAGCACGTAGTGAGCGCGATTGGAGCGCCACATTGAATCAAGAGACGCTAAATAGGCGGAGGTCAGTTTATGCAAAATGTAGGCGTTTGTTAGTCAATTGTGTCATTATTTCGGTTCCGCAGCGCCACCACACAAATTCATTCAATTCTACTTCCTTATAGACTCTTTTCAATCGTCCATCTGTAAGTACAATTATTATTCCAAGTGATTTCTTTCGTGATTACTTTATTTGCGACTTCATATGGCTCACAATTCAGACCCTTCGTTAGGAACATGTAGCAAATGCTCTTTACTCGTTGCTAATAAGCATGGGTACTGCATACCGTGATGGAAAAGACAGGCTGATTGACCTACTTGGGTATTTTGGATGTAAGATAAGGTCTTGCAAGTGTCCATAAGTTGCAGCAGTCCAAGTAGTCGTTGAGGTGGTGCATGATCATTGTGTGTCGCCGAGGAACAAAGGCCACCTGGACTGCGATGGTCGTTTTTCCACATCGAGATCCTCACTTCGACTGCATTATTGCTGCGTAAAATGCGATTATCCATTTTGCCCCAACAAACGTCTTTAACTCCATCACACTTTGTGGACTTCTGAACTCTGTAATGTTTGCCTCTATGTGCTAATTTTGCCTGCACATGCCTTGTTTTATTTAAGTAGTATTGCACGTTTTGAAACATTTCTTTGTGAAACCTTTGTCAATGACGATTTTATAAGTTACTTTGATGTATTTCTGACCTGATTAATGGACGGGTCCGCTAAATTGTGCATGAATGCCTTTGGAAATGGGTTACTTTTACTTTGAGTACGTGGTAGCTGTGCAATTTCTGAATTTGCCTAGGATGCGTCTATCTACTGCGGGGTGAGTGTCGACCTTTACTTTTTATCCCATCCAACTCAGAATTCTTCTCCACAGCACTCATCTTCCCGTCCATGAATGGAAGTGAAAAAGCGAATGCCACTTAGCAGTTAGCAATGAGAATGCTTTTCGACGAGCACCAAATTTCAGCTTGGATGTAGCTCCCAAATTCACGTCTAGATGCGTTTAGCGTAACATGCGGTAAGAAATCGGATTCATACGACGGTTGTGTAGCGCCTCGAGGCTCCTCTGAAGACGAATGGCGACATAAGACGCGGACAGAATATGCATTGTCGGCATAGGACAGGGCTGGGGGCTACTGGCATGACTCGGAGGCGAGGCAGCTCGGCGGAGGTGCAGTGTCGGAACCCCTAAGTGGTTTGCCACCGAAACCAAGAGTTACAAAACAGTTGGTTTAGTACGGTTGCATTCTTTCAGACTAGTCAGTTCAAAAAGGCAATATGTGATGTGGACGAATTTTGGTGAAACTTTAAAGCACATTTTCCATTATAATTTTAGACAAGATGTCAGCAATCGCCTTCGAAAGAGGTAGAAATTATCTTTTTTCTTTTATAGCTGCATTTGGTTTAAATCTTATGTTTATGGTAGTGAATGACTCCTCGTGGAGACTAAAATCAGAAATAATCTGTCAAAATCCTGTGATTTTGTGTGATGTGTCAGCGAACCCTTTCATTCCTTATAGGAGGTTGCTGCGTTAGACTTGAAGCTGGTCCCCCTGCTTCTACGGGTGAGAATGCCTTTTTGCCTCTTTAGTGGCATATTTCATTGGCAAGTAACCAGAGTTTAATTACTGAAGAAATCAGGGAACATAAGGACTCAGAGTAAGGAGGTGGGAAGACTGGTATCGTGGGTGTCAGCAGTGGAAGTATGACAGCTAGAGAGCCGTTCACAATGCGAATCCTACACTTGACACTCTTCTGCTTTGGCTGACAGAATATTATTTGCCACATACCAACCAGACTGGAGTGAAGGAATTGGGCAAACACCGGAATTGGAAATGCTGACATTCCTGAGGCATTTGTTAGTACACCCGTCGACGTCGTCAACCCGTAGCGGCATAGCTGAGGGCGAAACCATCGGGTGGCATACAAGGGACCGCGTGGTCGTCGCACGTGGCCAGACGGACGCTACCTCCACCAAATGCCACCTCCGTGACTGGTGTTTGCGTTCGGAGTGAAACAGCTCGGTCCACAGATTATCACCAGTAGTGTAGTTTAGCGCATTGCAATGTAATGATGAGATGGAGCTGGCACTTGCTACTGCGTATTATCGGACCTCCGAAGTGCATTAGCGTTGCCTTAATTGTAGGAGACAGTTTTCCGCTTGAACGTCACTGCTACCAATTGCACGCAGATGTAGGCAGGTGGGCGGAGTTGGGTCGTCGTACCGAAACAGGAGACACTGAATGGCCAGCGGTTAATTTCGGTGTATGTGAGGGTGCAGCTGGCTGTAAGCGTTTTTTTGTCTTACTGTAGCCGGTTTACCCTGCTGGTGGTTCAAAGCCAGAGATGGAGTTGTACCGTAAACATATTGAGCTGGCGAGGAAGTATGTCAGACTTGGCGAGGAGATAAAACGCTTGAATAAGCTGTGGGACGATAGAGTGACGCGAATTGTCTCGGAGAAGGGCATTAACCCCAAGCAGGTTGACAAGTGGAAGGAACGCATCAGGGAGTACTGCGACCTCTACGTCATTTTGGTACGTCTTCCTTGACAAATGACGTTGCAATCCACTTTACCCGTTGTCAACAGGCACTCATTTTCTTTCAGTCGCGTGAGGTACAAAGGCGTACACGCTAAGGACACTGAAATTTTATTGAAACTGCCATCTACGTAAAGCTGCCAATAACTGGATTAACACTTCTCATTCATCCGCTACCTTCTTAACCCTTCTCCCCTTTTAAGGCCATGACTTGTGATGAGTCTGCTGTTATCGATACTAGTGGCTTATTTGTTAACATTTGCTCTCCTACTGTGGAATGAAGTTGAGTTCAAGTAGACATTGTGGCGAATGCCTTGGTCAGTGCAGTGTCCAGGAAGCCACTTAGGACTTAGGACCCTCTAAGTTGCAGTAGCTGACGAGAACTGCATTTGCGGAAAAATTAATACAGTTAGTTGCAGAGCATGCTGATTGTATAGGATTCAAGGTTTCTGTGCCAGCATCAAAAAGGGGCAAACAATTCAGTCGTTTGCATCAAAACATCTGTTTAAGTTATTTTCCACACTGCAACTCTTTTGAAATATCTTTTTATGTAAAAAAGAGTCGGATGTGACGTATTTACGCAAGGTAATAATTATTTTAACGG